CCGCTCTGACTCTGGTGAACCCTCTCACCCTCCGGCACTTCTGGCCTGTACCCCAGTTCTTGTATAAATAAATAAATCTTAAATATATATATATATTTATTTAAAAAAAGAATGAGTGATAAACCAAAATGCAAGTTAAAATATTTTGGAAAAAGGGCCTCCCCGGTGGCGCAGCGGTTGAGCGCTGGGTTGCAAAGCTGCCCACAGCCTCTGCAGCACCAGTTCGATCCCTGGCTGCTCCCCAGCCACTGGAGGAGGGTCCCACATGGCGCGCAGACCTCTCCTGCCGCCCGCTGCTCCCCTCAGCAGTGTACTTCGGTCCTTCTGCCTGCTCTGCTCCCCGCTCTGGCTCTGGTGAATTCTCTCACCCTCCCACGCTTCTGACTGTACCCAGTGCTTGTATAAATAAATAAATAAATAAATCTTTAAAAAAAAAAAAAACTTTAAAAAAAAAAGATATTTTGAGAGCAAAATAGAGAGACCACATAATTTTTGTTACTATATGTTGTTTAAATTCTTCTATTTTATTATTAGTTATTGTTGTTAATTTTACCGTGACTAATTTATAAATGAAACTTAGTCATGAGTATGCATGAATAGATAAAACAGTATATATCTAGTTTGGTACTGTCTATAGGTTCTGCCATCCAGGAAGTCTTGGAACATATCCCCCGCAGATGAGGTCTCAGACACTACTGTTTATTACAAAGACATTGTTATCAAAACAGCATGTTTTTGGTGTACAAAAAGACACATAGACCGATGGAACAGAATCGAGAGCCCAGAAATAAACCCATGCATATACAATCAAGAATTATTTGACAGGGCCTCCCCTGGCAGCGCAGGGGTTGAGCGCTGGGCTGCGAAGCTGCCCACAGCCTCTGCAGCACCGGTTCCATCCCCGGCCACTGCGAGGGTCCCACATGGCGCGCAGACCTCTCCTGCCACGCCTGCTGCTCCCCTCAGAGTGTACTTCATCAGTCTGCCTGCTCTGTTCCCCGCTCTGGCTCTGGTGAATCCTCTCACCCTCCCACGCTTCTGACTGTACCCAGTGCTTGTATAAATAAATAAATAAATCTTTGGAAAAAAATTTTTTGACAAAGGAGCCTACAATACTCCATGAGAAAGACAGTCTTTTCAATAAATGATGTTGGAAACCTGGATATTCATTTGCAAAAGAGTGAAATAAGACCCGAAACTGTAAGACTCCTAGAAGAAAACATTGGCATTGGTTTTGGCAATGATACTTTAGAGGTGACACCAAAAGCTCAAGCTACAGAAGGGAACATTCACAAGTGGGACTATATCAAACTAAAAAGGATCTGTACTGAAAAGAAAGCAGTCAACAAAATGAAATGGTATCCTGGGCCTCCCCTGGTGGCGCAGCAGTTGAGCACTGGGCTGCAAAGCTGCCTGCAGCCTCGGCAGCACCGGTTCGATCCCCGGGCACTGTCGAGGGTCCCACATGGCGCGCAGACCTCTCCTGCCGCCCGCTACTCCCCTCAGCAGTGTATTTCATCAGTCTGCCTGTTCTGTTCCCTGCTCTGTCTCTGGTGAATCCTCTCACCCTCCCGTGCTTCTGACTGTACCCAGTGCTTGTATAAATAAATAAATAAATCTTAAAAAAAAAAAAAATGAAATGGTATCCTACAGAATGGTAGAAAATATTTGCAAATCATATACCTGATAACAGGTTAATATCCAAAATATTTAATGAACCTCTACAACTCTATAGCAAAAAACCAAGGCCCAAATAATCCAATTAAAGTATGGGCAAAGGACCTAAATAAACACTTTTCCAGCCAATAGGTACGTGAAAAGATGCTTAGCATTACCAGTCACAGGAAAGTGGAAATGCTAATCAAAACCACAATGAGATCCCCCTCACACCTGTCAGAATGGCTGTGTCACAAAATGAGATTAAAAAATGTCAATATTCCACTCCCAGGGATCTACCCAAAGGACACAAAAACAGTGATTCAAAAGAACACCTGTACCCCTATGTTTATTCCAGCACTATTTACAATAGGTAAAACCTGGAAACAACCCAAATGCCCAAAAATAGATGACTGGATCAAGAAGATGTGGTATATATACACAATGGAATACTATTTGGCCTTCAAAAAAGATAAACTAATGTCATTCACAGCAACATGGATGGTGCTAGAAAGAATTATGCTCAGTGAATAGCCAGAAGGAGTAAGAAAAATATCAGATGGTTTCACTTATAGCAGGAATATAGGGGAACCAGATAAGATATCAGTGTAAAAAAAAAATAGTAACAACAGTACAAAGCACAACAAAGCAAAAACAGACCATTATAAATCAGAGACATCCTGCAGGGGAGGAGGAGGGAGAGAGATTAGAGGGAGGAAGGAGGAGCACAGGGGACTGAGGTGATGGTGCACGGGTGCACTGGGGAAGGAAATTCTATGGGGACTGCACCTGAGGGGGTGGGGAAGCAAATATTGTGAAAAAAATAAAAAATAAAAATGTTGTCAAGGATGGGAGGGAAAATGTTGTGCACTTTTAGTGGGAATGTTCATTCATACAACCACTATGAAAAACAGTATGTGCCTCGAAAAATAAAAAATAGAATTAATATAAAATTATTCAGTTCCACTTTTGGATGTGTATCCAATGGAAATAAAATCACTAACTCAAAAAGGTATCGGTACGCCCATTTTAATTTTGTCATTTATAGTAACCAAGACTTGGAAACAACTAATATGTTCTTTATATTAGTTGTTTCCAAGTCCACCTATGACAGATGAATGTATAAAGAAAATGTGTGTGTGTGTCTGTATTGCTAGAAAGCAATTGAAATTTGGCAAACATTTATAAATTGTACACAACTAGCTTATTTCCCACAAATATCACAAATGGTTTGTAATGGTGAATATTGAAAACTAGCAAAAATTCCAGAAATATTTCACTGTATATTGTAATTCAGCCATTAAAAAGTGATGTTTATGTATGTAATCAGACCTCTAGAATCTATAGTATTTTACAGGAAATACATAGTTCAAAAAATATATTAAATGATACCACACAGATATAATCAGCAAAATTTAGATTGAGAAAAACTGTGTAAGACTTTGCAAGGGAAAACAAAAAGAGTTGTAGAGATAGAAAAACACGAAAGGAAACATCAAACCGTGGTTATCATTGGTGAAATTCTGGACAATTTTTATGCTGCCTCTTCTTTTTTTCTGTACTATATGTTAAATAAATTACCGTAATGAGCCTTTATTACTTTACTAATAAGAAAAAATAATTTTCTGCTTTCTATGGTTAGAGCCCTTTTAGAATCTTAAGTCAAGATAACTTAAGACAAAAGAAAAAAAAGGATGGTAAAATGGCTTATGTCAGTGGAAAAGTCAGAGTTTGGAGCCAGATGCTAAGGCTCCAGTTATCCCCTGTGGCTTTATCTCTTTTCTCAGTTCTGCTTTCTCTGCTTGACTTCATTTTATAAACGTATGTTCTCCATGTAACCGGGAAGCCCCAACTCACCCCTTTTAGTTTAGATTTCCCCAGTGGAGAGAGATTCTTCCTAGGGTCATATATTAATCCCATAGACGATACTGGTTAGTAGTGAGGTCATTTACCCATTCCTGGAACTCTGTGACAGCCAAAATAATGAACACTCTTGATTCTCCTGAGGCATGTTGCTCCTGCCTTCAGTGGGGTGGGGGAAGGGGGAAGAGGCTCTATATTAAACAAACCAGCCAGCACCCCAGGAATAGGAGAACAGAATGTGCTGGGCAGTCAAACACCAAAGCTGTCACTGAGGCCTCCCTTTGGGGATCTTTGGGGTAATTGATTGAGATGATTAATATAAAAACATTTTCTAAATTGAAAAGTTCTGTGGCAATATAAGTAGATTTTAAAGGTCTAATTCTATTAAGTCAGTTTATAGTAAGACTTATTATATGCATGTGTATGTCCCTCAGTTTCCTTCATTGTAAGAGAATAGGTCTGGTGGCCAACATTTCATACTTCCCAATTTTAAAATGGTAATAGATGCTCGGTAGCTCAGGGTACATCTTCTGGTGTATCGTGCACCTTTTAGGTATTAACCTTGTAAGACGCTCCAAATATGAATTATTCATCAGATTTTCCTTCCTTTTACAAAAAGATGTACTGGTAAATGACTAGTGATACAGATTCTAATCCACTGAGGAGCAAAAGTATCAATTCCTTAGCATATAATACTCAAAGTTTAGGTGTTTGATTTTCAGAGCTGGTGTATTTTGTATTCTTATCCTTTTCCTAAGGCAGCAGTACTGAAAAGGCATAAAATCTCTAGCTATAGCAGATTTATCTACAAGGTCATTTATAGTGTTGAAATATTACTTTCAGTGATTGTTGTTTTGTGGACTAATAAAAGAGCTACTTTTGTTGGTCCAGCTTAAGAAAGAACTAGAGAAAACTGTTTAATGGACTGAAAAGATGAAAATAACTTCTTAAATGTTATTGGCAACTCTCAGGACTGATACTTTTTATAATAGAAAGCATTAGATCCCCACTGTTTGTTATATTCTTAATGGTGATAGAATTTTTAAAAGTAGAGAACCTACAACTAGCATTAGAAGTTTAAGAAAACAGGAGTATCTGGGTGATATATTATTTTCAGAATTCCTGGATTCTGGTGAATTTGACTCCCTCATACTTTCAAAAGTACTTCTCTTCAAGACTGTAGAGGTCATTATGAATCATTGCAACTATCATCAGATTCTTTAGAACAGTAACGACCATCAGATAGTATTTTCCTTAATCTTTCTTTAAAAAATAGCATCAAAATAACCAGAAGAGAGAAGATAGAAAAGAATAACTTACAGAAATAGTGATCACTCAGGATTAAATCTAAGGAAATTACTACTTGAGGTGCTTTACATAAACCTGTGTTATGTTTGCTTCATTGTTTGGTAAGATTTATCTTTGAAGGTGAAATGTTGTGGCCTGCACAGATTACTAACACACATTTCTCCCCACATTAGCTACATGGTGAACATAGGCCTGATTGACAAGCTCTGTGGCTGCTTCCTGTCTGTGCAAGGCCCAGTGGATGACAACCCCAAGATGACTGAATTTCTGCAGCATGCTTCAGGTCTCTTACATGGGATGTGTACACTCTGCTTTGCTGTCACCAGAAGGTAAGGTCTCTACGTGATGTCACTTTAGACTCAACTTTTGAAGTATCTCTTGAATTTTGCCTGAAATAGGGTCATTTCATAGAGACACATTGCTCTTGGCCTCTTCCTCTTTGTCCTTCCTCTGTCCTGTTGGCTTCCCAATAGGACTTGGCTTCCATTTCTCATTTTTCCTGGGTACACGCTCCTGCCAGAGTCTGTTTTTCTTAATGGTGTCATAAACCTGTTATTGCTGGTAGAAAACCTTGAGGTCATCTTGTTTCTCTTCCGCTGAGAACCAAAGGAATCGAGTCAGCCAGTCAGTGACAAATCCTAGACCAGATCAAGCCAAACCCTCAGCACAACACAATACAGCACAGCCTCACAGTGTCCGTGACCATGTGCTTTTAATTACAGCCTCCTGGGTTTATTTATTTTCCCTTCTGTCGCTTCCTCTAAAGTACCTCCATGAATAAGGGAAGGGAGCCATCCACAAAAAGCAAATCTGAACTCACATATGACCCATGCGCACGACAATAGCCAATGGGCCAGTGAATACTGCTGACCTAGTGGCTGTCTGGACCCTTCACCCCACCCTGTGGACTCTTTTCAAAAGTGAAAATTCTGTAGGAAGGGCAAGGGAAATCCTCCCTTGTGTCCTTTTCTTACCAACCCACCAAACAAGAATTATTCGCAATACTAATTTAGTGTTTCTGATAGTAATATGACATTTCTGACAGGCATATAGGAGATGTTCCACCAAAGAATTTTCTTAGAATTAATTTCAAAATTGCACAGCATAAATTAGGTATTTTTTTTAGCATCTTGTCAAGGAAAAAAATGAATTATTTGAAACTTTTAAGGTCTCCCTGCTTAAAGAAATATCCATCTATATTTAGTGTACACAGAATGCCAGTGACTGTGTTCTGAAAATTGTGAGAGAATTGGTTTTCTAAAATGTATAATCCTAACCTTTTAGTCCGTTTTTCTTACCCCACCTAGTCTTACCCAATCCCTCTAGCCCAGTCACATTCCTAGGAGGATTAAGGTGGCCTGAAGTGTCAAGGAAGCCAAGCATGGCCTATATTCAGTGCCTACTTAGTTTGTTTTCTTCTAGAAGTGCCGACAGACTCTGCCATCCAGGAATTAGATGAGAACTTGGAAGTGAATGTTTTGGGTCTGTGATCTGAGTGAAACTGGGTGTATCGCACTGCACAGAGGCTGGCAGCAGTGACAGGTTCCCTGGAGCCATTGGCTGTTGTCAGCTTGGAGCTGCCATGCTGCCCCAGCCAGCTCCTGTGCAGTGGCCAGGCCACTTCCTGGAAGTGATCCTCTCACCCACAGAAACCACTTCCAACACTGGCTCTGTATACACAGCAGCGATGATCTAAGGTTTCGTCACCTCTATTCTTTCCATGAGCACTGATAAATATCATGCATGTGTTTCCCTGTGCAGTTATTGTACAGGAAGCTTCAACTTTCACTTCCATACAGTTTTGGTCTTTTGAAATCTGTGAAACATGTAAGAAACTTAAAGGTCATTCACAGACACTAATTTTCTAGAGAAAGCTGCTGAGCCAAACTAACTTAAATTCGGGCTCAGCCTCCTGATGCAGTGCTCCCTCATACACACTTGATTCTATGTTATTCAAAATATGGGATGTGTTTCATTTCCTTGAAGATTTTCTCATTTACATACATGGAACAGGAGCCTCTTCTCTTTGATACATACAGTCATATCCTTGTCTGTTAGACATTGAGCATCTGCCCTATGCCAGACACCAAGGTAAGTACTAGAGATACTGCCCAGTCTGGAGTCAGACTGTACAGTAATGGCTGCAATACGAAGTTGCAGTGGGAGAAAATGTGTACAGGAGATGAAGCATTTCCAGTGGGGGCAAAGAAGAGCTTCAATCCTAAACTAAACCTTAAAGCATCAAAAGATAAGAGGAGGAAAGAATTCAGTGGAGGAAAAGGGCATAAAATGTGCACTGCATAAGGCGGGTGTTATTGGTGCTTTTCACCATCTAGAGGTTGCCTGCCAATGGCTTCCTATATTTTTCTGCCTGAGGATGTTTTCTGAACAAGTAACTGTTTACTAGAAGTACAGGGGTGTTAGCAGCTCCAGGCAGGACTCTCCAGCAATAAATTGATGGGTAGCATCTTACTGCTGCTAACCCCAGTGGTGTGGTGCTGAGGCATGTTCTGTACAGTGTCTCAGCGAGGCCTTGTAGTAATCCATTTACTAACACACCTTTACCTGGTTTTGTCCTCACCCCTCTTCCTTTTTCTATTTCCTCACAAACTCTTCGCATCCAAAGGATGCAGGATCTGCTTTGTTTCAGGATCTGCTTTGGAGCAACCTGAAGTAAGACATCTAGAAGTGCAGGATGTTGTGTCATGTGCAGTTTGAGATAACTGCGCACCAGGGTGAGAAGAGTGACAGGAGATATGGTATTGAACGAGCTTCCTAAATGTTAGCTCTTGGGATACTGAAAGGGAGACAAGAGCCTGATGAGCGATACCAGAGCTGCAGAGAGGCACTGACAGCGTTTGAGACAGAATAACAGAATCAATTTTCGGTTATGGAATAATCACTTCTGAAAATGTAGAAATGTCTGGAATGGCATGAGCCTAGGGGCTTTATTATTCCTTCTGGAATAATAAAGAGGCTCTTGTGCCATCTAAGTGAGTAATAGTGAGGACCTGTGGGATCAGTGGCAATGGAGAGGCGATGGAGTAAAAGTCTAAAGGATAGACAACACACAGCTCAGTGTTGTGGGAGAGGAACAGAAGAGGAATCCGGAGAAAAAAAATGGCTCTCCAGTTTTTTATAACTTTGAGTGGTGTATGGCATAGTGGCCAAATTAGGGAATAGAAACACTTGGGAAATAAGAGTTTAGTCCTAGACATGCCTAAGGATTATCCCAGTAGTCCAGAGTAGGTATGTGTATGTGTGTGTGTACACATGTACATACATGTTTTAAAAATAAAGTAAAAATGTCTCTGTTGAAATAGAACTGGTCTTTGAATAAATCAATGATTAACTCTTGGTTGTTTTTAACAATTCTTAATCCATTTGTCCCAGTGGGAAGTCTCCAGCCTCAATTGCTCAGCAAATTTCTATTCATAGTCCACAAAAGCGGATTAGTCTAGAAAAAATATCCAGGCTTCCTTTGCCCAGGGGATGTCAGCAGCATCGTGAGAATGACTCTGATGCCGTTCTTCCCTCACCCTCCGTTCTTTAGCATCTCCTGGCCGTCGCTGGACCACCAGACCCAGGGAGTTTTTCTGCCTCTTCAAAATTGTTTACTTCTAATATTTATCAGTCATTTCATACCACTTCTCATTTCTTCATAGAAATTTTATTTCTAAACTGCAGGGATCTGTTGAAAGCATTTTGTCCATGTGTTAAGTAGAGTTTGCACAAGTTCACAGCTGTGGCCAGGGGAGAGGGGTTCTGCAGTGGTTGTTACGTGGTGAGTAATTCCCATAATGCCTGTTTTGGCTTCCAGGACAAGGCAGCCAGAGCCAGAGAGTCGAGGAAGGCTTGTCCTCAAAGCCCTTTTGTCACCAACAGGAATAAAAGACAAAGAGGAGCCAGAGGGCCTTCAGAATTGCCTCTTGTGAGCTGGCAGATCCTGAGATAATTAAGTGGACTAATTGATAGCACAGGGCTCTGTGTAAACACTTCACAGTCTGCCGGGGGCCCAGCCTTTGTGATTGTTGTTATAGCAGGTCTGCCTCTGTACTACTCTCCGTTTGCCCTTAATCTTCTCATTTTTGCCTAGGTTTTCTGAGAGATGATTTTGGAGTCAGAATTGATGCTGTTAATCTTTGCCTCAACAAGGGAGAGGAAAGCACTAACTGATGATTTTTGTACCTGACTTGATTTTGAACAATTACTTGCATCTCTTTAAGTAAAAATTGAAATTGTAATCTGCCGGTGAAAGAATTGGTTTTATGTTAAGATTACTCCAGAATTTTAATATGGGAGTTGTTCAGAAACTGTAATTCCTAATCCCTTAAACAACATTCAGTCATCTATAATAGGACTTCAGAAATGCCTGTTGCTTACTGTTCCCAGTTTTCCATTCCTGGTCCTATGGAAGTAAAAAGAAAAGGATAGTTTTCAGATATCAGAGCAGCAGCTCAACTGCCCTACTTGCTGGTGCTCACTGAGAGTCTTTTGGGTCTGACTCTTTGACCATGCCAGTAGAAGCAGAACGATAATGAGGGATACAAACTGTGGCCAAACAGGCCTTTCTTTCACTTCATCAGCAGTCACCTGCTGTATTCCCAACAAGGCACTAAGGCAAGAGGCCGTGTAGCGGTAGATTCACAGCAAGGATTTACAGCCCTCACAGATGCACAGAAGAAAGAGGGGACCTTGGAAACCTCGCTGATTCTGATTGAAGAAGGCTTCTGAAAGCTACGATATTTTTACCAAAAAAGAAATATGTTGTTTTACGTGTTTGTGATTTTCATTTTCATATCCATAATCCATATTAACAAGTTAATTCTAGCCAAGGTCCCTGGAAATCTGTGTCATGAAAAGATAAGAATGTAGTAATTTAGCCCATTAATTATGTGGATATAAATGAGTGGCTCTCAAGTGGTTAAGGGTACTTGAAAACCATTTGTTTGATCATAGGTAAACTTAACTCTGCCTGCTTAAATTATTCATTCATTCATTAAACAAATATTTATGTAGCACTTGCTCTGTGCCAGGCCCTGTGCTAGGCTGGGGAGAAAGCAGAAATGATTCATCTGTCGGTCGTGTCCTCAATGACCTTGTAAGTCAGTAGGGGAAGAAGAGGCATATACAGATGACCATGGTATGAGGTGAGGAGAAGGGCTGAGGAAGAATAAAGCACATGGAAAGCACTTGGCACACTGCCTGGCACATAGTCAGTGCTTAAGAAGTGTTGACTACTATTACCACATCGGCACTGATGGAGTCCACAGGAGGGAGCGGACACTCTTGATTGCAGGAAATAGCTGCTTTCCAGAGCAGCTAACAT